CAAAGATATTATATATGTATGTAGCTCAGAGTTGACAAAGTTTTAACAAAACCTGACTATTATGTTCATGCGCCAACATCGCAAGATTATTATTTACAAAAGGTTAAAGCAATTTAAATGTAACAGTTAATACAATATAAACTGAATTTGTTTTGGTTGTAGCAAACGATTTTAAACTGCCATTAGAATTGGCCATGATCTCTCTACGAGATATCAGGCGCCATAAAGGTAATGTCAAAAGATAGGGGTGCTCAAAAAAAATATCAACAAAAACTATAAGGCGAAAGTATCAAACAAGAGGTCGGGGCAAAAAATTGTTTGCACATTAAGCATACAATCGCTTGGTAAGTTACATCTCCCTACGTACATTCTTCTTATGAAAGAGAGAGGTATGTCGGGCGAATTTCGATTTTGTGTGAATTGGTCCCACCTATTGTGAATTTCGTAGGACTGAAATTTATTTGACAGCAACACTGTCGGTGGAGAATGGAAAATGGCGGAATAGCAGAATATATTGCATTATGGATATAACTCATGGTTTGTTTTTGGCGGGGATCCGACAAACGTTATTGGTATTTAGAGACATTTAACTATTAGGGGCTATGTTTTTTCTTTCTTTAACAGTGAAATATGAGACAGTGACTGTTATAAGAATGACTTGCCGACAGTGGGGTCGTTAGTTACGGTGGGAATTAATATTGTTTTAAGTATGCTGTGACAAGATAAAGCTTAAGTAAGTACCTACCTAAATAGATGGGATCGTGCAAAAAGTGACATGTGAAAACTGTTTGTTGGGGATAAAACAATAATGCATGTTTTACAATCGTAAAGAAACCAAAATAATACATTAAATATTTTTAAAAAGATCTGATTTATGGGAGTTGTTGCTGGTAGCTTGACCGTTATAATTTTTATTAATTTTTATATTATTTTAATACCCTATTTTAATATGTAATTTTTTGAGTTCATTGTGAGCCCTCGTTGAGATCATAAACCTATAGGAGAAAAAGGGAACACAATCGTTATTTTTTTATTGATATCGGAAAGATTATATAGGTATCTTAAACTTGATAATATTGCATTATAATTATAACCAAAATATTAGTAGGTACTATTTTTAAGGTTTCCTTAAGTTACAAAAGCGATATATATTGGAGATACGAAGGATCCATATAATATTTTGTGTCTACATTATGTAGCGACCGATTCCTCATTCCTTATTTTTTGTATTTCATATTATTATGTAATATATTATTATTCGGGTGGTTACTAATGTCAGTAGATACCTTCCTAATTCTGTATTTACCTAATTGTGAAAGCAAACAAGCTGACGCTAAGTGGCTGTCGTCGCCTGTAAATGCACATGAACATCACGTCATCATGTGACTCTCGTAATACCCCTGAAGTTGCTATTTTGGACAACTAAGGTGTCTATATCTATTTATTCTGTATCTATTTATCATATAATTTATTTGCTACCCTTCACAACGAAACATAGCTTGCAAAAGCAAGCTGCTTGGCGGCTGAAAAGAGGTAGGAATAGAGTTCAAGCAGACAACTTTGTAACGAAGTTCAGCTCACTAAAATTAAAATAGGTACTCCAGCAATTATTTACAAAAACATAGATTTTTAGTTAAGACGTCAATCGATCCTTTGTAAAAACTTAGAAAGGAAACTAAAAGTTATAAAATTTACTTGTCCTGCAAGTGGGTATGTAATTGATGAAAACTATTCAAGTCCGCAGAAAAAGATCTCTTCCTCAATACATCTAAATGTGTAATATGATGGCTAAGATTATTCTTTGGTTGTTTGACAGTAATCACAAATTAAATGTAGGTATACATTTGTCCCTCTACCTCTACGCAGTTGTCATTTCCCCTGGGAGACATTGAAGTAATATAAAAAGGAAGAAGAATGCAGTTTTACTTTAGCGAATTCTTTCTCTGTTAATAAAATGGTATATGTCACTATACTGCTATAAGCCCTTTTATTACATTTTTATAAAATAAATATGTAAGAAATATCTTCTACCTACATTTACAAAAATAGTCTCCAATTTGTTGTTACACTACATGTATGGCCTTCTGGACGTGGAATTGAGATGCTTTCAAATATGTGTAATAATATTTTTATAGCCTAATTAATGTGCCACTGATGGTCAAAGGTCTTCTTTCCCACCTTTAAAACTCTCATGTCTTTCCAGTGAAATCATCAGAAACCCACAGCTATATTGAATCATTTATTTTTCTTGATAAAGATTTTTGTTGATTAAACATCTATTAAAAAACTCCAATAACAAAAAGTTTGTTATTAAAGAAATGTTATAAAATATAAACAAAGTTAATTACAGTGAATATAACTCTTTGTGTTAGATATACTAATTTTCCTTGCACCCATGGTCCCATGGCTACTACTCCGTAGATACTGGAACCTGAGTTTCAAGAATTAGATTAAAAGTTTTGGAAATATTTCTTCTAAGTATTCGAGACATTGACATGTCTCCAGACTCTAATTAAGAATTACTTAATGAAGAAACACATTAAATTATTCCCAGGCGATACGACAGACTCTATGAAAATCGAATTTGTATCTTTTACTTTTCAGAAAATAACAAATATTTATTCTATATATGTGCGAAATTATTACTGCCTACAGTCTAATGATTACTAATTCTTACTACATTTAGGTCTTTAGGTACCTACATGGGTACCTACTCAATAATTTGATTAAATATGCAATATTATTACATATAAAAGTAAAATTAGATTTTGTAGGTAGGTATGTGTATTTATTATAAAACAAACAAATTAAATAGCCATTATTTTATTAACTCTTTATTCTCTTGAATTTTTGAAATTAATATTACAATATTCAATGCGGGCTTCATATACAATCACCCAACTATTTGCTTATATACCACGACACAGTCACGTTGAATCGTACCGTAGACCACACTTGACCACAATTAAATGATATATGTTGTTAATGTACATATTACTAACTTGCAAAAACAATGCAAATCTGAGCTCATGCCAGATTCCATCACCACATAATTTATGATAAGTATTAGTATGAAATTTAATTAACCCTTCATATTGTTAAAATGTAATGCATACATCATTATTGATGAAAAATATCATTTCCCCCAAGTTTATAGGTCTTAACAGTTTCTATAAAGCAATACAATAAGGCAGTTTGAAACTATTTAGGTACCTCTCTTTATCTAGACATATATGTAGGTATATGCTACCTTATATACATTTAATTTTAGGATATCAACTTGTGGTCAAGTATTTACGACACAAATCTCAATTACATAAATATATAACATAAACAAAAGTATATAAACAAAAAATAATGCGCCACATAAAACTTTCACGACTATTTACAGTTACTTATTTTAAGACGTTTTTAATTTCTATATTAAAAAATATAAATATAGTTACATAAATACATAGCTACATTTATATTAAGACAAAATTGATAGATTAATTTGAACTAAAAGAACGGAAGTCCTGTCACTGTTAACATGTTAAAATGTAGTAACTTTACAACGCAACAATGAGATTAAACTTAATAGAAATAATAAACAAGTTAAATGAGATGATAATTTCAGATAAAACTAGAAAGAATGTTAAAGAAATAGAGGAATTAATAAAGTCGCTTCGTCAAGCAAGTAAATTTAGGCAAGTATGCATAACGTTACACTCGTACTAGCTAGGGTTAGCTAGCTACATACTGGTCAGTACCTATAAAGAATAGAGCGCATTGTTTGCAAGTGCGATATATTCGCAGTGAAGTTGTAATTTTGCTTATCATCTACTTGCATAACAAAGGTATACAATTCGTAAAAATACTGAGATATACATTCGATAATATAGATATGTATACCTCTCCAGTCTACAAAAATACTAGCAATATGGCAAGACAGCATTACGGATGGAGGACGTATATAATCTATTTAGCAAATTGCTCATTGTTTCACATGAATTACAGTTCTTTACGAGGCAGAAACAATAAAGAGAACCTGTCGTAAATCAATGGACGCCTCATGCACAAGTATCAATACTATGTTATAAGTTTAGCTATTGTTGGGTCAAACTTAATAGTAGATTAAGCCGACGCTACCGATTTACAGCCTTGAAAACCACTGGTTTCTAATTTGCACGTTCCCATAAAAACAATGTTCGTTTATAAGCAAATAATTAAAGGAATAACATGATTATTAAAACAAAGTGTACAAATGCACAAATAACAATAAAATTCGTATACACAAATTGTGTTTATTTTTTGTTTCAATGCGTTTTGTGCACGTCCCCGATTGGAATGATCCAATGCATTCAGATTAAATTAGGTCTTTGCTTATAGTAATCACAAATGATATCAAAAATTTTAGAAGCGTTAATTTTTTTCAAACACTAACGATCGGATTCATACGTTTATATTTTTATGACAAGTTTCTACGTTATTATAACTATGCATTAAAATTTATAAAGCCTACTTATACCAAAGTTACTTAAGTACATTTTGTTCGATTTTGATTCTCGATATTTTAAAATAAGATGGGATAAAATTTTATTACTAACGACAACCTTACTCTGCAGTAAATATTATTAGGTTTTAATGAATGTAAATATTATATTTTTATGAGATGTCGACAATGCGATGAAATTAACAACAGAAATCGTACTGTTTATGTCAAATATTTACTAAGTATTGTACCTATTTGTTTGTTCATGCCTAAAGGAAATACGGAATCGTTCAATTACTGCACCATTGCTTGTTTTTCTTAATACGGATTTTAATTTATTAGATTAAGTGTCTCTTATATATTACGATTTATATTTACGAGTAGGTACCAACATTATCCTTGTGTTGATGTAAAGAAATGTAGATTGATGTTTAAATAAATGATGAATATGGGAAGAACGATTCATGTTTCATGAACAACTTATATCTACCGACGACTTAAACCTCCGCTAATGATATCACGACATTGATTTCTATATTTTATGAATAACACAGTGGACAGATATTTAGAGGTGATTTATCAAAATTAAGCGAAGATTTCCAATTTTAATACAGATATCTTTTATTTTATCTTTTAAATCTACCCTGACATTAATTTACGTATAATGGTGACTATCAAGACTAATTTTTAATTACTAATTTTGTTCAGATATTACGTATTCGAGTAAAAAGAAAACCTATAACGAATTAATGGACGCGGTAGAAACATATCGGTAGTTATAGTAAATGCTACATATCATATTTTGGCACAATCGAAATCGAAAGCGAACGAAAGTGTATCTATATGTGATCATAATCAAGTTATTTACTTATACTTGAAAGGATAGTAGGACATTTCACTAAATAAACATCTTCTAGCTTCACTAAAAATTGACTTTATAGGCAGTTGGTATGCGCGTCACTTACTCAGCCGATAAATTTCTATGAGCTTAGTAAAAATACAGCCATGCTGTTCTAAAAGTAATAAAGTCTGCCTGTAAATAAACAGAAAATACAAGAATAGTGGCGTACACGAAAATGTGACTAAAAAGCTTGTGACCACTGTTTATTCTAACTTAGCAAGTTATGTATCTACCTATTAATGTTCTTAGCAAATACTCCATACAAAGTCGAACCTATATATCTATGTATAATACACTTATACTACTCAACTTTAATATTACGTGTAAAATTTATAGTTAGTCACATTATTGTAATTTATTATATGTATCATCGTTACGTATATAATTTTGAACATCAGATGACTCGGGATACGAGGACAGCGTACCGTACGCATGCGGTTCCTATCCATTTTTCTTATTTTGTTCCATTTGTTCATGTTCTATTTCGATTGGACATGGTATTCTTCAATTATAATTATCAAAAAATACCGCTTAATATCAATATTATTCATTCTGGTACACCGAAAATATAAAACACAACAAACGTTACGACGACCTATTTGCAATTGTACTTCCATACGTATTTTGTTATAAATATACACTTTAAGTTCTTACGGAATTAGCTATGTAGATAATAATAATTAATATTTGTCCATTATTATTACTATCAAAATTAAAAGCTCAAATGATACAACAATTTACGGACTTAATTTTACTACGGAAATGAATCACAAACTGGTCAAAAGAAAAGTAACTCTTTTTTCGAAATCAACTGATAAAATACAACAAATTTCACAATCATAAAAAAATGTGACCGATAAAACATAACCAGTCCACTAAAAGTGGACAAATAATAAAATATACATCAAAATGTACATAATATAATATCTAATAATAAAAATATAACATAATGGATTAGAGTAAGTGGTAGCAATAAATACTATGAGATTCACAGATTTAAAATCTTAACTAACAATACCGAAGTTCACTCGGGCTTCTATGTAAATCTTAGAGCAAATCTAAAGTTTTTTTGTAAATTTTAGTAAAATATTATTGCAATACAAGGTGTGGTTATGGCAACAAAATAAATGCTTAAAGCACATCACCAGCCTGTCCACCCAGCGAACGACACGTAGGCAAGTCCTCCGCACTAAAGGAACATTAATTATAATAGAGTCACGGAACGCCTCCACAACGAGACGACACTTCTAATAATCAGCCGCAAAACATAAAACTAGTGGATACGAAACGACTAAACGTTGCCCGCAGGTCCATATGGACGCAACACTTCCATTCATGTTTTCACACTATATGATACAAGATCAGTCAAGATTTCCTATGCGATGCTACGGGCACCTTACGTCGGGACTTTATTCACTTTGAGGAGGTCGTTAGAGCCCTTGTCGATAGGCATCTTCATGGGGTCGTGGTGGTGGGTGACGTGATGCCCGTGATGTTGTCCTTCAAGCTTCGCCTGTTTCTCTTGCTGTTGCTGCTTCATTCTATCTTGCTCCTCCCTCTCCCTGCGGGCCTGTTCGTTTATCTCTTTCACGGCGCGTAATTCCTTCTTTAATTTCATGCGTCGATTTTGAAACCATATCTTTATCTGCCGCTCTGTAAGACAGAGTGCGTGTGCAATCTCTATCCTGCGCCGGCGTGTCAGGTAGTGATTGAAATGGAATTCCTTTTCTAGCTCTAACGTTTGGAACCTCGTGTAGGTCTGTCGCCCCCGCCTTCGTGGACATCCATTTGGCCCTGGAAACAAAAGAAATTAAGATTTATAGTCAAATTCAATAAAGATTTCCGATAAAAAGAGAATGTATCACGATATTTAAAGTAGATGAAGACCGTACTGATGACAATAAAAGTTGTTTCTGTAAAATCCTGTCACAATTAATTATGTGTAGTTTACAGTTATGTTATAGGAACTTAAAATCGATTTATTACCACATATATCAACAGACATGCAAGTCGCAGTTGGATTCGCAGTGCGAAGGCTTCCGAGCGCGATCATTAAATTTCACTTTTATACCATCTTAGATTTTAATGGCTCATTAATATTTTATTACAACACTAAAGTTAATTTTAGAGTTAGCCGCTACTGAGACCAACCTCAAAGTAGATTAATTGCCAGATTTTAAGAGCTCAAAAGAAATGTGGCACTAATAGTTGAGAAAAATAAATACTAGATACCATATTGGTAGACTTCTAATAAAACAAATAATCAATATAACAAATAAAAATAAAAACAATCTCTGCATAGCAAAAAAGTAACAGAAAGGGTTAGAAGCAAACGGTCCGCGAACAATAGTGTACGTTTTATAAGAAATCACTATAAAAAATCAGGGATGCGTAAAGGGTTGCGCAACTTTCTAATGCTTTGTAAGGTGTCTCCTTTATGTTGTCCCTGTGAAGTAATTTTCTTAGAATTTGTGAAAGTTTACCCTTTACCCACGATAAACATATTCGATAGCAAGCGACGAAGCTTGCTTGCCGAAAACCTTAACGTTAAATCTTACGGTTAGTTTATTAACTGTAAGTTTAATTACCGTATTTCTCACGTACACCCCAGATATGTTTAAAAGGCCGACATACATAGTTATTTACCTCCGATCGAGTTTCAAACAGGTTTTTGAGGCAGCCAATAAATAAGGTAAGATAAATAGTCGTCCCATCTGTATAAAGTTGATAGTGGACCAACGGCGAGTCTCGGAATGTTTGACCATGTAGTGTAGGCCGACCTAAACTAAGTACCTTGTCGTATTCAAAATGTATAGATACGGCTAATGGATTATTTTAATACTAATTGTCAAATTCCATTAGATTTAGTACTAACCACATTATTACTTCATTCATCATTCTTACCTACGTTTTAAATTTAATGTCAACACAAAGAATACAATTACATGACAATATTCTTATAGAAACACGTTTTACACACAATTTGTATTACCTACCATATACCTACTATATTTCGAATTCTAGGGTTTTTTAATTAATGAAATTTGCATTCTAACTCACTGGTAACTTACTATCGATTCATAAAGCTTCACAATCTTGAGATAGCATCAAGCTGATAGAAAAAATTGCGTTTATTTAAACTAAGTACCTACTCTGGGTTGAAAAATGTAGAGAACAGACTAAGGGGGATGAGATTAAGTTTTCTAACGATATATAGACAAATCAAGTGTTGCATTCACGACAATATCCATAGTTGAGGTATAATGCCACTTAGGTACTACCTAGAAATATTTATTTATTTTTCCAATACATATATATTTATTTGTTCATTTTATAAACTGTTATGGATATTTAAAGTTATTGAAAACCCATATTTATATAAGTTTAGGCAATTTTTATTACGTTAGATGCTATAAAGATGATTTATTTATTTTGTCGGCAAAGTCATAAAAGTACCGAGCAGAAGTAACAGTTAAAAATTAATGTTTATTATAAATAAAGACAATTAGTATGATATACTACAGAATATTTTATAATTTAAAATTAATTGCTAATTTATTTTTGTTGGTGCGCAAATTTACCGATTGTAAGATTTTCAAAAATAGATTTACATTACACTTGTAATAAACAAGTTAATGCAATTAAACATAGGTTACAAATACTTAATGGTGTTTTTTTTACTTTTATGAGAATATCATTTGTACGTCTGTAACAATAACATCTGAGTTATTTAGGTGTAAAAGTCGTTGTTGTAGACACCATTAAAATTTTTTTCATCGTTGTTAATCATGTTTAATACCTAACCGAAGCTGGTCCACTAGCGTACACCGTTAGGTCTGACAAAAGTACCTACTATTTCATTTTCACCTACTAAGATCTATTACAATAAGGTTGTAAGTACTAAGTAGACATCTTGTAGGTATATTATAAAAAAAGTTAGTGTTAATCGTAATAACAGTTCCACGATAGCTTTAGTCTTAAAAAATATACATTTTCAAGTTTTGTATACCTAGAAGTAGGTACTTATGTGATATATAAGGCAGCCACTGCGAGAAAAATACAGTAGATATATCTTCGCTCCTTGCTGAACAGCAGTATTATCGTTATATACACATTCACTGAATGCAATCACATTTCCGTAGATATTAATTACTAATATAATTTCGAATATAACGTAACTATAATTACAGTTGCTATATGATGTGCTAATTACAAACAAGGAATTAAAGTTACCTAAACCTATGGGTATAATTTATTAGGTAACTATTATTTACTACTATATCCCAACCTCTATGGCTGCTCTCCTAAAAGCATTTGGTGGGTAGCTATGATATGAGATGGAAGTTAAACTATTAACTGTGTACACAAGGTGGTAATAATTAGAACGTTCTCGTTTTAGGAGACGATAAGATCGAGAATTTGTGAGATCTTCATTTGATAATAACTATTCAAATTAATTAGAATATATTCGAATCGATTCCTACTGTCGATAAGGGCACTTTATCAGATAATCTATTTACAGTTTCGTCTATAATTTGATCGTTATCAGGTGTAGGTAGTAGAAATGTAAATTATCGTAACATATAACATGATTTAAGTAAATAAGTTACCTAGAATTTAAGTTAAGTTTAAGTTAGAATATAAAAATAATCTAGTTATATGTATATTGATGTATGAGAGTATTTATATTTAGAAAATATTATTTACTGAACACCATAATGAAGTGAACATGGAATATAAACCCAAATAATATTTTAATATAAATTACGAAAAAATGCAACCAATAAATCACATGACTCGCCCAAAAGTCCAATAGCACATTTACATGAGCAATAAATTACATTAACTACCTTTTTACGGCCGTAATAACATTTACGGTCCATGCTTATTTCAACAAAAACTTAAAAACTGTTTAAAATGTCATAAATAGAGAATGGAATAATTACACAAGTGCGGTTAGAGCAGAAAGAATAGTAGTCGAAGCGCGTATAAAAGAGATAGATACATCTATTCTAATTTTAAAAAGCAAAGATGGAACCCGAAACACAATACACGCATCCCAATAATGTCATTAAAGAGAAAGGTCGTAAGTAGTGTTTGATGATGCGTGAAAGAGATCCTTCTGGTTTATAGGGTACAGTCTAAAATCCGTGTCACATGGGGCGAGGTTATCCGTTTTTTGTTGGGTACAGTAATATGTTAGCGAGGCAGGTTGGCCACCCTTCGCACCGTCTCCATGACAACGAACGTTAAAGCACCTCCCGTCAGCTGGCTTCCATTATTCTCTGCAGTATTGTAGTCGCGAAGAGATTTCGTTATATTGTGTACCTGTACTGCTCCTTTTTTAAATAGGAACGGCTACGTTTCCCATGCTCTGATAAGAATCTGATTAATAAGGACACTAACCATTTATTTATCTACTTAATTAAGAAGAGATATTTTTCAAATAAATATAAAATAAGTAGTACCTATTTATATTTATTTTCATTTGTAGTTTTACGGAGTAGGTTATATATATAAACATAGTTTACCTATGTAACTAGAATGGCGAATAAACGAACAGCCTACATGATGGTAAGTGGTAATAAACACCACTATGTAAATTATATGGTATGATCCATGCGTTGTTATTATCCATGCTGAGATATAGACGACTTTATACAAAAACTGTTACAATTGATTTCAAACATACATACCTATATAACTAACTAAGGTATAGGTTATAGCTATCTCGAAAGCAGCTACATAATAAGTAAATACATTATGTGTTCTGTTATTATATGTGTATTGAATTAAAAAAAAAACAAAACATAACAAAGTTTATTTTAATCTTTAGCTTAAATAAGTCACTCTAAGTGGATCGACACAGGGCAAGCATTAGAAAAATAAAACTGAAGTTGAAAAGCCGCTACAGTCGCAATATATCGTAGAGGGTGACGGCATAGCATTAATTAGTGCCGTACATCGTGAGCCGACATCGGCCGACTATAAACATACTGCGACAAGACCTGGCTCTTACCTTGCCTCCCTTTTTTCTCCGAAATAAATCTCACGGAATGCCGCTGCTTATATTTTATTTAACTTTGTATAAACCTGCTCGCCTTTGTGGAAACCAGTTTTAAGTAGAATTTGATTAATACTTGCCCGCGGGAGAATATTAAGGGCCGGTGTATGAATTATACCGTTTTTTGGGTAAGAATGTTATTTATGAAAAGAGTAGACAAGGGTCGCTAGATCTGTAGGTAACCAGTTACCTACCTACATATTACTATTTTTTATTTTCATTCTTAGATAAATTATTGGACTTTGTAGATAAGTAGGTATATGTATCTACTATATCTCAGTATCTACCTATGTAACATTGGCATTATTAAAACATTTTTCATGTACCTACCTAGTCACTATACCTACACTTACTTTCTTTGGTTTGTTTAGGTCAAATTTGCGAGAAATAATGAACTGTACCTACTTTAAAAGAACGATTGATTTATTATTGTACTTATATCAATTAAATGGACATCAAGATCTAGTAGGACTGTTGTGGAGTGTGTGCGACACCGAAGTTTATTGGCTCATAACTTGCGAATCAACATAAAATACGGGTGCGTACTCGAGACGCCATCTTAAAATAGTTTCACGTTCGAAATTCGAAAACCCAATTCTGTCACTTTGTTTTTACGCATTCAAATAAAGGATACCCTTATGATTTTAATGGAAACGGAATTTAAGACTGATATTAATGATAAATAATTTAAAAAAAATCATTCATTCTATTATAAATACCTACCTACACA